GAAGAGATCTGGAACCCTGATATGGGCATCTGCCTCTAAAGCTGGCCATACACTGGTCAAATTTCTTCTGTGTCCTGCCGACCAGGCCGATATTGGACCAGTGTGCGATCTTGTTGGGACACCCCCATTCAAACTAAAGTTGATTGCCAAAAAGGCCTATCCTTTGAGCCAGTACTAAAAACTCAAATGAGTGCAACCAATTTGCTGAACAAGAAAAAGCTCATGCATGGCCAGCTTTTGCATAGAAAGGTTTTACCTCTTTCCTCTTTATAGCACCCTTCAGCTCCTGTATAGGGGTGCTGTGTACAGGTCTTATTGGGGGTGATGACTAAAGATTTAAAGTGGATCTAAAACCCAAACTGGCTGCTATTTAGTTTGCTGTTAATCTCTTCCAGCCTGATTTAGCCACTTCCTGTCTACATACATTTACTGCAACATCAGCTGCACAGCATTGCTGACATCTGGCTTCCTGGTAATGGCGGACCTTACCTGGTGGATCTTACCTTAGCAATGTGTCAACCTGGCCACTTGAAGTCTCCATTAAGGGCACCTGTAACGGGGTGACAATGCAGGGGCACAATTGGGAGACAGTCGTCTTCCCATAAGAGGAAATGTCAGAAAATGAGTCTTTATGGCAGCTTTACCCAGTACTTTAATAAAAGCTGCAGATTGCAAAAGTTTCGAACTTTACCAGGTGATACACCCACAGAAATACAATCCTAACAGATGTCCCTGTGCCCAGCTTCTGTAATATGTAGCAATGATTATTGAGCATTCTACCAACTCCTGGCGCCAAGGGCTATAGGATGTAGAAGGGAGTGTTAAGAGCTCTATATATGTGATTTGCTGTGTGGGAGGGAAAGTTTAAAAATGCGGTGTCCGAACTGTATACACTAAACTTGTGACCACCTGAGCCACAATCTACACTGCCTGGCCAAAAAGTCACTCTGATATTTCGTTGGAACTTTAGCCGTTAGCTTTGATTACGGCACGCATTTGCCGTTGCATCGTTTCGATAAGCTTGTGCAATGCTACAACATTTATTTCTGACCAGAGTTGCATTATTTTACACAAAGCTCTTGTAGCGATGATGGGAGAGTCGGACCACCGTAGGGCTGCAACTAATTATTTTCATCAAATTAGTTGGCCGATTAATTTTTTTGTTTGGATAAAAACAAATAAATAACATTTTCAATTTAAAATAAAGTACACAAATGCAGTGTTACAAACATAACGTTTACTTCCGAATAAAACTGCATGCGCAATGTTTTGCAATCCTGCTGCACTGGAACGATCAGCATTGCGGTACCCTGCGTTCCAGTGCAGGTGATCACACTGTGGGTGGGAGGCGCGTTTGAGGTGCCATTCAAATAAATGACCTTTTTTTTATGTATTGTAAGCACATGGCGCTTGAGTAGCTTCAGCCAAGGAATGCCAGTGGCCAGATTCTGCAGGCGGCCCGGTGGCAAGATTCTGCAGGCAGTAAATACAGCAGGTAGTGGGCTGGTGCAATAGCCAGCCTGCTATTGGCCATTTCAAATTGCAATAGCCAACTGCAAATTCTTGGCTGTATAGGTAGGTGTGCTGGTCAGGTGTCCACAAATGTTTTGGCAATGTAGTATGTATGGCTGTGGGATTGGGAGGGGGCAAATTAGGAGAACTGTATTCATGGATTGTGTCTCTGAAGAGAACTGTTGTCTCTTTGGAGTGAGAATGAGATCAATGGCACATTGTTTTTGTCCCCTTGTTTTGCCCAGACCTGGTGTAGTCAGTAATATTCCATTTAGCTGCAGCAGTATTGCAGATTAACCAATAGTGGGCAGTGCTGGAAACAACGAAGTTATGTTTAGTTTATTAATAATATACAGTTTTGCTACATATTAACTCTTGTGCTTCGAAAGCCCGAAGCTATCGTAGAAGTTGAAGGTGAAGTTCAAAGTTGTGTAGGAAAAGAGTGAAGTTGCAGTTCAGGGACTGAAACTGTCGTGTGGTTCGGTATAAGATTAATGTAGAAAGAGATAAAATTCCATCTGATTATGAGGAATACAGACTTGGAGACATTGTCCTTTTACCACTCAGTATAATGTTTTTTTTTATTGCACCCTGTTAGTGCCATGTACTCCTAAGGCAGGTTCACACGCACTGGCCATTGGGTATAGCTTTCACCTTCCTCTTGAAGGAGAATTGTATTTATGACAAATTAGCTCGTGACGTTTTTCCTGAAACATTCCTCTGCTTTGAGAAGTCTGACCGCTAGAGCTGCAGCTAACGATTATTTTCAAAATCGATTAGACGATTTAAGTTCAAGTAATTGGATTAAAAAAAAAAATGGCTCCAGTGATGGACTACTAGTTTGTATTGAGATTGTAGTCCATCACAGGAACAAGCTTGGAGCGGTGGAAGTAAAAAAAAAAAAACTCGTGTGCCATATAGTGAAATGGAAAGTGTAAAATTATACAGCAATCAATGCAGAATGGCACCGGCTATAGAGGACTACAAATCCCAGCAATAGTACATTATACAACGCAATGCAGAATACTGCCAGCTATAGAGGAATACAACAAATCCCAGCAATAATACATTATACAGCGCAAGGAATTTTGGACGGGAGACTAGCAGAGACGCAAGGTAAGGCTATGGACGGGTGCACCCGCATGCAGACACCGTGGGATCAGAAGTGCCAGCAAGGACAGAGGAGTCGGCGCTGGCTCGGAGGTCCGCCGCAGCGCTGGAGGGACAGATGAAAACATCAGGGAAGATCGGATTAAGAGACGTCATAAGGTAAGTGCTGACATTAACATTGGGGGGAGGGAAACCTTTTTTTGCCCTTTTAATGTCACTTTAAACATTCATGTAAACTCTTATCTTATAGGCACAAAGTGATAACACAATTCCGTTCTCTGTCCTAGATTGCTGTGACTATCGGGGTGTAGTGAGAAAGTTACAATACAGAGTCCTCATTACCGCTCTCCATGGGCATCTCTACGGAACAGTGCGTTCTTCCACTGTGCCGCGTTCTACGTGATCACTTCCAGATCAGTGCTTGTATACATAAAAAATGTTAATGGATGCTGTGGCTTTTATGTTCCAAGGTTTTATTGATTACCCGAGCCTTTATCTGCAGTGTTTAAGCAGAAGGTGTTCTGATATTTCCCGACCTGCTATCTGTGAAATGCGCATTGATCTGTTTTGTGTACTGCGTGATCTGTATGTGATGAGACACATTCTCACTGTCTTATCTTTTTACATGTGCTGCCACCATTCCAGCAATGTATTCAGTATGGAGGCAGCCAGGCGTTGGAACTAGACACTTCTTTTTTTTTTTTTTTTTATTCCTGCATGTTCACGTCACATAGGAATGCCTCAGCAAACAGTATAATCTTTGTGGGATCTTTCCATTGGCTGTTTTGTAGCCGTCTATCCCAATCCTCAGTGTGCCAGAGCTATCTCCTTTCCAAGTAAGGATTTCACTGTAGATTTAAAGAGGAGGTTAATAGCTTTGATATATTCTGCTTTGTTTTTCTTTTTGGCTGTGAAAATAATAAATATTAGAGATGCACCAAAATGCAATTTTATAACCGAAATGAAAAAAATTGTCGCTGAAACCAAAAATTTTATGTTCTAACCTTTTTTACATTTCGTGTTTTTTTTTAAATATATTTTTAAATTTTTTTCTATTAAATATTGTTATTTACTCCGGGCTCTCCTCTCTGCCCCGCTTGACCTTCTCTCTGCTCCCCGCTGCAAAAAATGACTGGGGCCTACGTTTGGATAGATAGAATGGCTAACCTGCACAGGAGCATGGATTGTCAAGAGGCCAGGAAGGATTACAACATCTGCCAGGTTTTATTGCTTTCTGTCTGCCAATTGGATATTTTATTTCCTATCTGGAATAGGAAATGAAGTGAAGTCTCCCCAATGGGACACAGAAATAAAATCCTGACAAAGGTTTTAATATTTTTCACACTCAAAAACAAACTAAGCTTGGACAGGAGTTTCACTTGTGAATGTCCGTCTAGGCAAATCCTTTTGTATAAGGTAGATTCATGTTTTTGTCCTACTGACCATTGTGGAGCATCAAAAATTTTACAGTTCACCAAGAACGGGTATAGAAGAAAAATCTCCCGAATGGGGACACCTGTTTGGGAATTTTCTCTCGCTTTGGAGTGATTTTCCTCTTCCTGTTGTGCCTTCAGGATAGGAAATCAAGAGTGCGAGGGCACGGACAGCAAAAAAGAAGTCTTCTAACCAGCTCTTATTCTGTCCAAAACGTAAAAATAAAAATGTTGGCTACACACACACTTTAAGGCCTTGTTCACACCAAATGCAGAGCAGATCTGCATGAGTTTCTGCAGAAACTGTACTGTGTTTTTGATGCGTTCCAGGCCATTTTTGGTAAAAAAAAATATTTTTTTAAATGGGCTTTCATTGCGTTCCAGGGCGTTTGTATACGTTTTTGATGCATTTGCATGCGTTCCAGAGCAGGTAAAATAGGGCCTGCTGCAGTTTTTTTGCCTGCTCTGGAACGGAACGCTGCGGTGTGAACTGGAGCTAAAACTACCATTGGAATACATTGGACGCAGTTTTGCTCCGGTCTGTAACTGCTCTGCTCCTGGAACGCGCTTGGTGTGAACAAGGCCTAAATGTGTTCCTCTGTTGTATGACCTGCTGGAGGTTGTACTCTGCAGCAAAGCATCCCTAGACTCTGTTTTGGTAATGCTGTAAACCACATGTGTCAAACTCAAGGCCACCAGGCAATTTCCTAGACTTCTACTTTCAGATCTAGGTATTAGGTTATTACTAAAACCAGTGATAATCGAATGCAGAGGCAATTATGATAAAGATTAGAGAGAGACATTTATATAGTCTTACAGATACCTTTTGAGGGCAACCATAATGTTGATGTGGCCCACGATTAAATTGAGTATGACACCCCTGGTGTAAACGGTTCTTGTGCTATGTCCAGTTCTGCTAACCATTTTTTCCCCTCTTATTTGTAGTTGGTAAACACGAATTAACGGGCCACAAAGTGGCTGTGAAGATCCTGAACCGACAGAAGATCCGAAGCCTCGATGTGGTGGGAAAGATTCGCCGGGAGATTCAGAATCTCAAACTTTTTAGACACCCTCATATAATTAAGTTGTAAGTATTCTGGTTTTATACATGGTGACGGAGTTCATCTTTCCACTTTTATGACCCCGGATGAATTCTGCACCCTCTGACTAACTTGTGGAAAATGGAGGTTGTGCCATTTGATGGCTCATCTCCCAATGTCTGCTGTCTGTTGCTCCATTGTGTGTTGTAACCTGTTTGCATGAGATTATTTTGCAACGTTTGTGAACATGTAGGATTTTATTTTTCTATTTGTTATGGAGGCTATTGTACAGAATGAAAACGTAGTGTGCATATATAGGATGCAGGGGCGTGCGGTGAGATCAGTGGCGGGTCAGGCACCCCCCCCGGCCTGTCCACACTGCAGGCCCAGTCACTGAGCTGGTGGCAGCTGCGACCGTTGCAACCCTGGTAGTTCCACCACTATATAGAGAGCTACAAATCCCAGCAGGACATTATATAGCAATGCAAAATCCCAGCAGTTGTGAGCCCCAATAATAAAGGTGCAGGTGCTGGGCGCATCCCTGGAAGAAGAGGGCCCCTGTAACTGACAACATTGCTAGTTACCAGGGCCCTCTTCCTCCTGTTTAGGCCCCCTAAGTGGCGGAACACCAGGGCCCTGTTGCAGCTGCCACCACTGTGACCCTGGTAGTTCTGCCACTGTTCCAAATTAACCGTGATTTAGACAGCCATGAAAACCCTGGGCAATAAATCCGGATGTTTTAATGGACATGTGGTTAGATTTACTGTTGCAGGAGTTATCACAGTGACACAGGCATCCAAGATAAATTCCTCCACTGCAGCATTTTGATTGGATGGTTTGGACCAATGGTGCTTTGCCATTGGTCCAAATCACCATAGAGTTTAAGTGCTCTCACAGAAGAGCTCTGCCTCAGGTTAGGTTACCCTCATAGCTGGGAAGCCTCCCTGCTGCTGTGTAACCTAACCAGGGCTGTCAAACTGGACGGAGCACCGCCTGTAATTAACAGGTGGCGTGCCACCCATGACAGGTTACATAGCAGGAAAGCTTTCCCGCTTTTTAACCTGTGAAGGTCTGATTTATGGAGAAAAAGCTGTCGGCTTAAGACTTGAAGCTGACAGATTTTTCTTCTAAAATTGCAGGTGAGGCTTAGCCTCACCTGCCTCCCCAGACTGCACGTCCCTGATAGGATGGTGTCTGTGTATAACTTTTTGAACATATTTGTGATATTAAGTAGTCACACCTCCATCTTCTGCAGATGTACAGTGAATGAACACCGCATAGAAAGGCAGGCACCATTATACTGCATAAAATCCTAAAGAATCTAAATATTTCTAAGATGGCATATTAGTCAGATATGTCTGGTTAATAGATGCATATTGATGCTGCTGAGTCTGCTCTAGTTCTGTGTAATTAACCCCTTCATGACGACGTACAGTGTACGTCGCCAGCATCGGGGCTGTTTAAACAGACTCCCTGGCGACTTTTGCCGCCGGGAGTCTGTTTAAACTTGTAGAGCCGACTGTCGGCTTTACAACAGAAGCGATCCTGGCGACTTACCTGAGTAAAAGCCCCCCGAGCACGCGCGTCGCCAGGTAAACACGCGTCGGGTGAGCCTACGCATGAAAACGACGAACGCGCTACACATGTTGGGATGCAAAAAATGAAAAAAGGGCCTCAGTCATGAAGGGGTTAATGTCCTGGGTTAATACTCCTTTGTGATGGAACTATGTATGAGTATACGTTATTTTACCTTATACCCATACACAGATTCCCGGTTTAATGTTCTCAAACTGCAAATTTGCAACATTTTACTCCTATGGTTGAATTTTCCATCAGCTTTAGTTGGTACCCAGTCTCCTGGACACTATGCTATCATGGCTTCTGTGCTAGATCATCGGGCTGAAAGCTTAGGGAAAGCCCTCAGTCTCTCTACGACTCCAGGTATTATAGGCGTTGGAACCTTTCTTTTCCTGTGTTTTAAAAACGGTGCAGAAAACTATTCCTGTGGCAGCCTGAACACTGCTCATCAACATTGCTGCTCATGGGGCTGGAGCGTAGATGATTGAAGTGTTCAGGAGGGGGATCAGACCACTGGTGAGGTGGGCTTCTGCTTTGTGTAAGAGAGAGATATGGTCCCTACACACTCGCACACCCACCTATTTATCCTTGAGCCCATATTCCTGTTGTCGTTCCTATCAAAAATTATTTTATACAAATGAAACCCTTTTTAAATGTCGTTTTTTTTTTTTTTTTTCGAATTGAATGCATGCTGACCTCCTCAGAAGTTTAATGCCTCTCTCCTTCTCAGGTATCAGGTGATCAGTACACCAACAGATATATTTATGGTGATGGAATATGTTTCAGGCGGGGAACTCTTTGACTATATATGTAAGAATGGGAAGGTAAGAATGGATTTTATGTTCATGTCTAAATGACAAGCCAACATTTATTGCTGTTGCTTTAAAGGCCCGTGTATAGTCATTTTAGTCATTGTTGGCTATACATAATAGATCAGATTAATGTCCGTGTTATCAATGTGTTCTATTTTTTAAATTGTTTTAGAATTTGTACTTGGCCACAACCATGTTTGCTCACTACATACGGCTTTTACTTTACTCCGCCTTGACCGAGAGCAAGCGTGTGAGTCAGCGGACAAATTGAAAACCATGCCGCTCTGGTGGCTGATATCTAATCTCAGAGTAATTGCCTGCTTCCTCTAGTGGCTTATTCACGCACACTCTCACGCACACTCTCACGCACACTCTCACGCACACTCTCACGCACACTCTCACGCACACTCTCACGCACACTCTCACGCACACTCTCACGCCCCCTCTCACGCACACTCTCACGCACACTCTCACGCACACTCTCACGCACACTCTCACGCCCCTAATGGATGCAAACCCGGTTTGCTAAAACTGTGTACATCATAAATTCCTTGAGTGCTTTCTTTTCCTATTTTGTTCCATTGCAGCAATTTCTATCTACGTGCATTACAGTTGGCCATATAATGTGAATTTCGGCCAGTTCTCGCTCAGTGGGTGGCCCTGTCGGCAGTCTTTTGATGAAGAAATATCGGAGGAGCTGGTCACTGTTTGCGTATTCTGATGGCACATGCGGCGCTGCCAAAACACAGTAGTCCGGCAGGAGATTCGTCTATCGCGCTGTTTAGCATAGATGGAGGAATCTGTTTATGGGTTTTTTTGTTCCTTTCTGACCGCAATTTGAACAAATAGTGTATAGCCAGCATTGGCTGCACGGCCACTTGGAGTCTCCACTGGAAGCCACTGTGTTAGGACTTTACTGTCGAGTTCCGGTCCTTCTGCACACCGCAGTCTTTTTATTCCAATGAGAAGTCCTTCACTTGGCAAAGGGTTTTGGGGGGCCCCAAAGTCTGAACACCATCACAATAGTTTCTGGGAGGATAAAAAAGCTGAGAAGATGCTGGTCACATAACCCGTCAGACATATGAGCAGCTCTCCTGCGATCAGTGTTTTCTCTGCTGCTTTAAGCTGGAAGTAGGATGCTGCAGGCTTAATACAGGGATCTGCATTTTATGAATTGGTCCTGAAATGCAGACTGAAGTATTGGGTAACATGAAGGAATATAGGCTCTCTGTGAGAAGTATAATTCAATAGCCGAATATGGAGGCAAACAGCTTATCAAAACTTTTTGTGATAAACACTGCATCCGTAGTTCAGAAGGTGTGCTCACTGAGAATACTTTACTTTCCCTTTAACAAACCCAGAATTCTGTCTTGTGCAGGCGCAAGTTTAGAATAGTTGTGGTTTTAGGGAAGTTTCTGTGGGCCTGTTAGTGTGTGTGTGTGTGTGTGTGTGTGTGTGTGTGTGTGTGTGTGTGTGTG